CGAAAATCATAGAACTATAGTAAATGGAAGAGGAATACGGGGTGACGAGCTGTGAGCAAGATCTAAAGGACAGAAGTATCTTTTTGTCCTACTCAATGACTATTCTTCTCTATGCGCATGACCAAGTTCCACCAATCAAAATTTCAGATTTTAGAACAACACATGATCGTAATATTTTCATCAATTTTCACAGTTTTTTGTGATTTGTTGTTTTCTGTGTACGAGATCGTTAATTTTAAATGTAAAATGGTTCGATATTGTGTTTTATGTGGTAATCGTGACAAAACAGTATCTTATCACAAGTAAGTAAATGTATTTCACAGCTTCTAATATTAATAATAACAGCTTCTAATAAATACATGTGTTTTATGCTTGCATGATATTTTAGGTTAAATAAAATTACATTCCAATTTTTGCAGATTTCCAAATAATGTGCAAATAAGACCAGAATGGCTAAAATTTTGTAATTTTGATGAAGTTGTTCTCAAAACTTCCACTTTTTTATGCTCAAATCACTTCACAGAAAAAGATTATCTTCTCACAACAAAAAATAAAGTTTTAAAAAATAGAAGCATACCATCTATTTACTATATCAAAAGTAGAAAAAGATATGTACATGAAAAGACAAACTGTATTATGTAAAACAAATTATTTGATTTAGTTATATATATAAAACATAATTTTAGGAGCTATAATGATAAAGATTGCAAACATGAGGAAATTGATATAAAACGGAACAAAATGGTAAATATCTGTGAAGAGGAAGCATATACTTCAATTCAACATATAGCTGATGAAAATTTGAATGAACTAATTCCAGATGAAGAAGAAATTCATCACAGTGAGTTTTTTAATTGTGTCATGATTTATGAAGTATCACTTTAACATTTCATATTCACAAGTAAAATCTTAAATCTGCATTGGACTATGCATCTTGTTGCAGCAATTCGCAAGTGATTTAGTAAATTACTAAAAATGAACCATACAACACATAAGGTCTGTTTTTTATAGCTAAACTGGCTGCACTAGTTCAGAGTTTATCTTTCTCCTTCCAATGTGGAAGGAAAAAGATAAACTCTGAACTAGTACAGCCAGTTCAGCTATAAAGAACAGACCTATAGTGTATACTAGTAATTTATTAGATCGCTTGTGAATTGCTGCAACAAGTTGCATAATCTGATGCAAGCTTTAATTATTCATTACATGAGAAAATAGTTTCACTAATTATTATTATTTATCAGGTACCATTGATGTAGTTTCATTGATAAATGTAACTCCTCCAAACTCTCCACGTTATAATGAACCACGTTATATTGGTGATATTAAGACACCACATTTAGCTACACCACGAAGAGCTAAGAGAGCTTTTAATTTAGCAAAGCTGGTAGTAAAGAAACAAAGAAGACAAATTTTAACATTACAACAAACTACTGGTAGATTGAAAAAGCGTCTTAAAACTATAAAAGACTTAATAGATCACCTCAAGAAGAAGAATTTCATATCAGATAATGCTGTCGATTGCTTAATGGTACATTTTGGACAGTATTCATAATCCGTTCTTATATTTAAGATTGTTTTAAATATGATCTTAAAATGCTATGAATCGATTAAAAAGTCATATTAGTATCTTAAGACAGTATTTAAGATAATCTAAGAATAAAAATGGACTATGAATACAACCTTTGAAAAAATTGTATATAGTAATAAGATTAATTTTCAGTGCACAAGCGTAATAAAATAATGTAATCACGTATACACGTTGGTTTTTTTCAGACACAATTACCTGACCCAATGCGAGAAATCTTTAAACGCAAGCAAACTAAGAAAAAAAAATATTTACCTGAATTAAGAGCATTTACTCTTACGTTAAACTTTTATTCTTCAAAAGCTTACAATTACGTACGAAAGAGTTTCTGTAATCTTTTACCTGAACCCTCTACAATTCGAAAATGGTATTCAGTATTGAATGGACGCCCTGGATTTACTGCAGAAGCATTTGAAGCTCTAAAGTGTCAAGTTGAAAAAAGTGATAATCCGATTATTTGTAATATCGTAATAGACGAAATAGCGATTCGACAACAAGTAACTTATGACGGACAAAGATACTATGGACTTATTGATTTCGGAGTTGATCATAATGACGCTTTTCATGTAGATCATTCACTTAAAGCAACAAACGCCCTAGTTTTCATGCTTGTCGCGATCAACGGCCACTGGAAAATTCCTGTAGGATATTTCTTACTGAACTCGTTAAATGGAGCTGAGAGAGCCAGTTTATTAGAAAAATGCCTGGAGTTGATAGAAATGACAGGAGTAGAAGTGCATTTCGTAACTTTTGATGGAGCTAGCGTTAACATAAATATGTGCAAATATTTAGGTGCAAATTTTGAATTAGGAACTGCTTTTAAGCCATATTTTATCAATCCTGTAACGAAAAAAAAATCTTTTGTTTTTTTGATCCATGTCATATGTTAAAATTAGTTCGAAATACTTTGGGTGATCAAAAAATTATGAAAAGTAAAAATGCAGATATCCATTGGCAGGATATTGTGCTCCTGCAAAAGCTGGAGGAAGAAGAAGGGTTGCGTGCTGGTACAAAATTAACAAAAAAACACATTTTCTATCAAAACAATAGAATGAATGTTAAGCTAGCTGCTCAAACACTGAGTGAAAGTGTTTGTTTTGCCCTCAAATATGTGCACACAAGTAATTATAAGCAATTCCATTCTCCAGAAAAAACGGACTGAATTTTGCTCGGTGTTTAATAACGCTTTTGATATCTTGAACGTGCGTAGTCAGTTTTCAAGAGGAACGAGTTATAAAGTACCTTTAACGAATAAAAACTATGACGAGTTAAAAGCTCATGTTGATAAAATTATAGAATATATAAGCGATTTAAAAAATGTACAAAATCAATCTATTCTAAGAAGTAGTAGAAAAACTGGCTTTCTAGGATTTATTATCTGTTTAAAAAATATATTTCAATTGTGGAATGTTTTAAAACAATTAAATTAAATTATTTATTAACATTTAAACTTAATCAAGATCATTTGGAAACATTTTTTAGCGCTCTGAGAAGTCGGGGAGGGTTCAATAACAATCCTAACGCTCAACAGTTTGAAGCAGCATACAAAAGGTTGATGGTCAGGCATGAAATTAGTGCGTCGGAAAAGGAAATTGCCTAATTAACGATATTCATATATTGTACGCACCTTCAACAACAAAAAAATACTCTGAAGTTCAGAGTCTGAACCAATATACACCGAATCATATGATTCTGAAACAATTTTTGCTATCGACATGTTTGACCATGATTATTTAGCTTCGTTATGGTCTCTTAGTTCGTACGTAGAAGATGTTGTAAAATATATCAGTGGATTCGTAGTAAAAAAATGACCCGTGATAAAAAAATATGTGAGACATGTGCCTCTTTTTTAACATCTACGAATAATACCTCAAATTTAATTACATTTAAAAATAGAGGAAAATTGACAATTCCCTCGGAAGATGTAATAAAAATTACAAGCGCGTGCGAAAAAATTATAAGACAGAATAACCATATTATTTTTATTAAAAAAATATTAAAGATTTTTTAGCGTTAAAAGTCTTTAATGCTGTGATTGATTATAGTTTTACGCACGATGCTATGTTTGAACATATAAGAAATCAAGATATTTTTGATAATCATAAGATACAGTTGATAAAATGTATCATTGAAATATATGTTAAAATACGTCTATATCACGAAGCAAAATTCTCAAGTGATGCTGAAAAAAAACAATACATACGCCACAAGTATTCGAAAATAATACATTTTTATCATCAATAAATTATCTATTATAAGTACTTTTTTATAAGTTTCTTGATAATTCCATTATATATATACATATATCATATATTTCTTTTAACATTATATCTCATATTGTATTTATTTTTATTGTATTCTTTGTGTCGTTATCTATTTTTGTTCTTATATCTTATTAAATGGTTTTTCCTTTTTAATATGATAGTTTGCAATTATTTCATATTTTTTAAAGCAAAGGTTACAGAGAACTCGACAATTAAAATACCGCGTCTCGCTTGGCACATGCGCAGAGAGAAGAAAAGTCACTGAGCAGGACAGAAATACATCTTCTGTCTCTTAGATGTTGCTCACACTTTCCACCCATTGTTTAGATACGCTATTCCTCTTCCATTTACTATAAGTTCTATGGAGAACACACATTCCCAAAGATTCCCAAAAAAAGTATAGTTAGTTTCCGATCCCAGTAATTTTAAGTTCCATTATTATAGTTCCTCTCGTTTTCTGTGATCATAAGTTAGTCGCGGCTAGATTTTGTATTTTTGCAATAAACTTATTGTTAGAGTTAATAAAGTGACCGGAATTATTGCTGTCCTAATCTTCGGCGTTACAAATCGCGCCCCAGAGTAACACGAGACTCGAAGGGCGTATCGGCGAGAACGCGCACGTGGCCTGAACGCCATACTTATATTCAAGATCGTCTTATAGCGTTTTCGAATAAACGGGGTTTGAACGATCTAGGGTTGATCAATCACTATTTTACTATAAATGCAAGTCTTTCATTGGTGGAGAGGTTGCAATGACGTCATTAACCAATCTTGGGTCGTTCAAATCCTGTATAATCGAAAACGCTATTAAATACGGACTTATATTCGCTCTCTTCGTCACACATAGATTGTGTCCGACGAAAAAAGCGAATATAATAGCGTTTTCGAATAAACGGAGTTTGAACGATCTAGGGTTGATCAATCACTATTTTACTATAAATGCAAGTCTTTCATTGGTGGAGAGGTTGCAATGACGTCATTAACCAATCTTGGGTCGTTCAAATCCTGTATAATCGAAAACGCTATAAGTCTGTACTTAAGACAATCTTGAATATAAGAACGGACTATGAATACCGGCCTTAAGCCTTGTGTCCACGATACTAGAACTCGGTCCGAGATCTCGGACTGAGCGAAAGTTACTAGAACTCGGATCATGTACACACTGAATTTGGATGCAAAAGTCGAATAAGAAGCTCAAACGAAAAAATGCGTTGCGTCCCATTTTTCGGTACGAGTTATTGCAAGTTATTAGATTTTACTAGTTTCTTTTACTATCTGTCAAGACAAAATATAAGATACTTATAGTGATACGAGATACTGTGAACAATATAAATAATATTTTAGTAAGTAATTATAGAATTGAAAAAATAAGAGAAATATAATTCTTAAATAAAATAAATTAATAAGATTAATAATTAATAAGAATTTACATAAGTAGTTAATTATTAGTTTTAATGCAGATTAAATTAGACATTAAAAATATATTATAACCTATATATACATATTATTTTTCAAGAAAAGTATAATAATATATAAAATTGATTTTCAGTAAAAACTTCTTTTATAATAAAAAATGGATAATAAGGAAAATGTTAAAATTTTATTAATGTTATATCAACAATATCCTTGTTTATATGTTACAAAAAGTGTTGATTATCATAATCGTATGAAACGAGATCAAGCTTTACAGATAATCTGTAATCAGTACAAAGAATTAACAGGACAACCACTAACAACTAAAATTGCAAAAAAAAAATTAATAATTTAAGATCACAATATCTGGACCATCTAAATAAAATAAAACATTCGAAATCAAGCGGTGCATCACTTGATGATATCTATAAACCAACTTGGTGGTTGTTTGAAGATATGAGTTTTCTATAACATAGATCAGAAAATCATCGTAAAGAATTGTAACTCGATTACAACGCTAACTATATTCAGCCAAGTATAAATATTATTGTTCGAGGACTCGGACCGAGATCTCGGATCGAGTTCTAGCATCGTGGACACAAGGCTTTAGAGAGTTCAATGCACGGACTAAGGAATAGAGGGACTGAGTCTAAAGTCCTAGTTTAGGCGAGAGGGGATGGTAATTCAAGCGTGCGGGGGAGACTGCTTTCCGCCATATTGATGTAGCGATTCTCACACAGAGATTCTGTGTCTGTGACATGGTTACACTCGTGTAGTGGTGCCACTAGACATAACGAGTGACAAGCGTAAAGAGATTAGGCGGTTTTATTATTGTTGTACTATAAATTTTATAAAATACTTTAACTTTTATTACTCTGAGGCTCTGCATACAGTAGACAAAATATTAGAAATAGCAATAATACATTTAATATTAAAAAAGAAATTATTTTACATCTAACAAGAGAATAAAATATATTAATTAGTTCCAATTCTTATTTCTTAATTCATGCATTAATTTTTTCTATTCTTTTATTTTTAAAATAAATAATTCCAATTTCTTATTTCTAATATTTAATAATTATTCCTATTTCTATTTCCTATTTTGTTTATTGTGCGCAGGATTTGACTTTCATTTCTCACACATACGCAAATAGTGAGTTCTATGTGTGGTGATTACTAAACGAATATGGCGCCCCCCCTCCCCCCGCCGCAAACGTGCTCCCCCGGTACAGCTTGTGCTTCGTCCCTCTATTCCTTAGTCCGTGGTTCAATGTATAATTTACATTCTAGAATTTTCTTTTTAACATGTTTTAACATCTACCAAACCGATTTTTGATAAATTTCTGTTCTGCATTAATCAGGTAATTTTTCCCTTAGAGCGTAAACGTAAAAAATGAAAATTTTCACGTTTCCAAGGAATCATGATATCATATATCCTGACCACGTGGATTGTACAAGCTCCACGTGCCGAAATATTTGACTA